TTGGACCAAGATTTCAAGGGACGTCATCGAGCTGAACGTGTGCAGAACTCGGAGGTGTCGTCCGTTCGGTACTTGATCGGTTGAATCAAGAAGACATTCGACTACATCAACTGCGTTAAACTAACGCTTCCACTTTCGGTCTACGAGGGTACGTGGACACACTCTCCCCCTCTCATTGCTATGCATCTCCTAGATAGATCTTGCGTGATCGTAGGAATTTTTTTTGAAATTGCATGCTATGTTCCCCAACATATGATGAATATTATCCAATGTTATCACCAATTCAGTGCCTATGAGTTTTTCACATATTGTTCTTACTAAGTTACTACTGTCGTTACTACTATTACAACTACCATAAAACTGCTAATGTTACTATTACCGTTACTATCATTGCCACTGGTATCAAATTATTATACTATTGTGCTACTGATCACTTCGTTGCAGATATTTAGTCTCCAGGTGTGGTTGAATTGACAAATCAACTGCTTATACTTGCAAGTATTCTTTGTCTCCCCTTGTGTCGAATCAATAAATTTGGTTGAATACTCTACCCTCAAAAACTGTTGCGATCCCCTATACTTGTGGGTTATCACTATCCACATACGAGAAACAATTCCTCGCGATGATGATGGTTGTCGACAAGTGGCGGCCGTACCTGCAGCAGGGATCGTTTGAGGTCATCACGGATCACAAGAGCTTATGTGCACTCGGAGAGCAACATTTGGACACTGAGCTGCAACGCAAGGCCATGTCCAAGTTGGTGGGCCTGCAGTTCACCTTCTGGTACAAGAGAGGGGCGGACAACGTGGCAGCGAATGCGCTCTCTCGTGTCGACCACCGGCACGCCCTTGACGCGCTCGTTGTGTGTCACCCCCAGTGGCTCCAAGAGGTGGCTAACTCCTATGAGATGGATGGCACCACATAAGAGCTCCTGCAACAACTGGCAGTCCATAGCTCGGATGATCAAGGTCGCACGCTCCGGCATGGCATCATTCAGCAAGGTGATCGGCTTTGGATTGGAGCTAACACTACTCTCCAAACCAAGCTCATCGCTGCCCTCCATGTCAGTGCTCTAGGAGGGCACTCCGGCATCATAGCGACCTACCAGCGCGTGCGCAAACTATTTGTGTGGTCTGGCCTCAAGCGCGCCGTCGAGGACTACATTCAGCAGTGTCGCGCTTGCCAGCAAGCTAAGCACGAGCACCGCCACCCCACCGGCAAGCTTCAGCCTCTAACCATTCCATCGGCACTGTGGCACGACGTGACGATGGATTTCGTCGAGGGGCTCCCCAACTCCGAGGGCTACCACACGATCATGGTGGTGGTAGATCGTTTCACGAAATTTTCCCATCTCGTGCCACTCTGGCATCCCGTCACCGCGGCGCATGTAGCTCGTACTTTCTGGGATTCCATCATCAAGCTTCACGGGGTGCCACACTCCATCGTCTCCGACCAGGACAAGATCTTCACAAGTGCGATGCAGCGGGAACTCCTCGCCGCAGCCGGCACTAAGCTCCTCTAGTCCATCGCCTGCCACCCTCAAACGGATGGCAAAAGCGAGCGCGTCAATCAATGCCTCGAGATGTATCTCCGTTGTGCTATCCGAGATCATCTGAAGCAATGGCAGAAGTGGATGCCCGCGTCTGAATTTTGTTGCAACTCCACTCATCATGGCTCTCTCCGGTGTTCTCCATTCAAGGCACTCTATGACAATGAGCCAAATCTGGGAGGGCTACCAGTTTTCCTCAACAAGATATCGTCGGACATGGCTAGCAGCGACTTCGACTAGGCAGCGCATACACAGATGCTGCGGGGCCACCTCACCCGCGCTCAGGACCGCTTCAAGAAACAAGCCAACAAGCAGCGCACAGAGCATGCCTTCACCATCGGCGACCAAGCCCTCCTCAAGCTTCAACCTTATGTGCAAGTCTCCGTCGCTAGCCACCCCTGCCAGAAGCTGGCTTACAAGTATTTCGGCCCGTTCACCATCCTGGAGCGCATCGGTACCGTGGCTTACCGCTTGGAGCTGTCGTGGGATTGCCGCATCCACCCGGTATTCCATGTCTCCCGGTTGAAGCACTTCATCCCCAACTACTCGCCCATCTACTCCGAGCTGCCCAAGATCCCAGACTTGACAACAACACCTCTCATTCCGGTGGCCATCCAAGAAAGACACATGGTCAACAAAGCCTCAGCCTCACTCACCCAAGTCCGAGTTCAGTGGTCTTCACTACCTGCGGACGCCACCACCTGGGAAGATTACGTAGTCCTGCGCGTGTGCTTTCCATCAGCCAGCATCTGGGAAGACGCTGCATCTCAAGGAGGGGCGCCTGTCACGCCTGTAGTTCAGGGCGCATAGCCTAAACCTGCAATGGACAGCGAGTGCACGAATGGTGCAGCTACAAGTCAAGTTGGGCCATAGCCCGAGAGCCTCCGGGGCCAAGCCCATGTAATATGAGTGAGCCCGTGTTGGGCGGGTGTGTGTGTGAGACTACTTAAGCAAGTTGTTGCCACTGTTAGGGTTCATGATGAATAACAAAGTGAATTGATCCTCTCCCCTCTATTGCCTCCTCTCACCTAACCTCTCCCTTCCTCATCCCGATCCTCTCCCTCTCCCTGATCCTCCCCAGCCGGGCATTAAAGTGGGGTGTTGTGGCCTGGCTCCCTTTGGGGAGGGATCGGTTGGAAAGGTCGTTATCAGATGTGGTCGTTCCCAAGAGTCGATTCCCCTCGCCTTGTCGTCGAGGGGCCCTGGGTTTGGTTGTAAGAGGATGTTACAGGTCTTGACAAAGATCTGCATACCACCATACAGCTTCCAAACTCCTTAATGTTGTGATAGCTGACCCATTAAATGTATTGTCGGGACTCCGATACCAATCAACACCTCCCAAGAAGGGACGCGACGATGACAACGTTGCTGCCAAGGGTTTCCCCGGGTACGCGGCGATGAGAAAGGAAGGGTAGCCCCCGACGCCCTCTAGGAAGGTCTAGCGGTACCCTCAGGCGCCAACGCGTCGGTGTCGAACAGGCCGACAGGGTTTCTCTCGATCCCAACCATCACCCCAGGCGCTCCAGAGCACTCCACAAATATCGCCCACCACCCTGCGCCAACACAGTCTTGAAGCCACCCATGCTGTCTCACCACAGCACCGAGAAGTGGGGCCTCCACAGCGAAGAAGAGTCGGGACTAGGGGCAGCAACATCGTCGACGTTGCAGGAGGGCCCGACCTCCACCGTCAATGATGGTAACCGACCAGACGCAACAGCAAGAGCATACCAGGCCCACAGGCCACCCGCCGGCAAGGAGCAGCCTCACCACCTCTCCGATCGTCGGACTACAACCTGCCGA